GCAGGAAAAAGGGAGATCTGGGGTTTATGAGTCAGAAAAGTGGCATTGTGCTTGTTCATGCCGTGCTCTGAGTTTCCAAAGTGCTTTGAAACAAGTCTGGGTGCTTCCTTGTGTAATTAATAGATATGGATCAAGTGTTTTATTGCTAGACGGAGGCCAGAGTAAATGTTTTGTGTGCTCTTTCTGTGGCTCCCCAGACGTGCAGCCTGTGATCTGTGAAGGATCACTTCACAAAAGTGTGTTTTTACAGCAATGCTCTCGGGCAGTCACATTTGGTTTGCAGAGAAATTACTTTTCAGGCTTGAAACTCCTCGAAGTGCAGCAAAGTACCTCGAGTGCTGTGTTCAGTTGTGGGCCCCTCACTAGAAGAAGGATGTTGAGATTGTGGAGCGTGTTCAGAGCAGAGCCACAAGGATGGGGAGGGCTCTGGAGAACAAGCCTGATGAGGAGCGGCTGAGGGAACTGGGCTTGTTTAGCCTGGAGAAGAGAAGGCTGAGGGGAGACCTCAGCACCACCTCCAACTGCCTCAAGGGAGGTTGTGGAGAGGTGGGTGCTGGTCTCTTCTCCCAGGTGCTGGGAGATAGAACAAGGGGAAACGGCACCAAGCTGTGCCAAGGGAGGTTCAGGTCAGAGCTAAGGAGGAAGTTCTTTCCTGAGAGGGTCGTCAGAAGCTGGCACAGGCTGCCCAGGGAGGTGGTGGAGTCACCATCCCTGGATGTGTTTAAAGAGCAGGTAGACGAGGTACTTAAGGATATGGTTTAGGGGGTAGACAGGAACGGTTGGACGTGATGATCTCGGAGGGCTTTTCCAACCGAGCCATTCTGTGTGTGTGAAAGCCTCTGTTTTAGGGTGTGAGGAAGTGTTGAATTGTGCATACTAAAGGCAAAACACCCCTGTGTGCCGCCTGCTTCATCTCTTTTGGGGAAAAAGGCTTTGATTTTGTGTATTTTTTCCCCTCAGTTTGGCATTGCAGTGCGGGATCCGTGCTGTGAAGGTCACTTCAGTAGCGTGGAGTCTGCTGAACTCTGGTGGTGGCACAGGGTCGAGCGATGAGAGAAGGAGCTGGCACGGACTCAGGATTTCCCAAAACGCTGTAGGAGGAGATGGGAGGATGCATTAATAGAGGAAAATTAAACTGCTTAATACTACAAATTCCTTTAACACCTGCCGTGTCTTTTCTTTAGGTTATGCGTGCCGTAACATCTCCACCTCCACCGCCCTTCAGAGTAAGTGTGAAGCTTTTCTGTGGGAGTTCACTTTATTTCTTAAAATCCTCTGTGTGTAAGCTGATAATGGGGCTTTTTATTTCCAGATAGAACCCACGTGAGCTACGATATCAAAGGAGATGTCGCTGTTGTGCGCTTTAACACCCCAAATTCAAAGGTACTGTTTTAGCTGGCTGTGGTTAATGGTTTTATCAGTGGAAAGGGCAGGAAGAGCAGTCGTATGGAGAAGGCAATGAAAATGCTAATTTAAGACTTAAGAACTTTCCTAACATGCAGCATTTCAAAGTTGTGAACTAAGTAGAAATAGGAAAAGGAGCATTTGGGCATTACACAGAATCGCACAGAATATCCGGAGTTGAAGGGACCTGGAAAGCTCCCCCAGTGCAACCCCCCCACAGCAGGATCACCAGAGCAGTCACACAGGAACACGGCCAGGGCTTTGGGTGTCTCCACACAAGGACACTCCACAACCTCTCTGGGCAGCCTGGGGCATGCTCCAGAACCCTCACACTCACAAACTTTGGCCTCATCTGCAGCTTGAACCTCCTGTGCTCCAGCTTGGGACCATTGCCCCTTGTCCTGCCATTGGCCATCCCAGAGCAGAGCCTGGCTCCTTCCTCCTGACACTGCCCTTTCCAAATGGATCCCCAGGAATGAGGGCACCCCTCAGTCTCCTCTGCTCCAAGCTCCAGAGCCCCAGCTCCCTCAGCCGCCCCTCGTAAGGGAGATGCTCCACTCATTTAATGAGACACATGAAAATGCCTCATGGAAATATTTTTTATGTACTAAACTAACTTGTTTCTCCCATTGACATGAGATATCACTAAATCTTATTAAGCTCTTGGATTCAAGGTGATTAAGGAAACCGTTATGTAGAGAAAAAAACAGCTCATAAAACTCTGTGTTTGAGGTCAGAAACCCACTGGTGGTGAGGTTAAGGAGGAACTTCTTAATGACAGCTCACCTGGTGACCTGCTGCAAGGTTTCATCCTGGAGGGGTTTTTTCTTCATTGTATTATGACACAAGATAAACTAAATTTTGTCTCAAATCTGGGCTCAATTTGAGCGCCCCAGAAGCGTTATAACTGTGCCAAGCAGTGGTCTGGCTGCTGCTGCTATGATTGTTGAGCCCAGTACTTAACCAGAGGTTAATCTCCTGAGCTCCCTATTATAATTAACTCTATATTAATTCTATTTGCTGCTTTCAGGTGAACACTCTATCCAGACAACTGAACACGGAGTTTACTGATGTCATGAATGAGATCTGGGCCAATGAAGATGTCAAAAGTGCCGTCCTCATCTCTTCCAAGCCAGGCTCCTTCATTGCTGGAGCAGATATTGAGTAAGTACAGGGGTGTTAGAAGTTATGATAACAGAGCTCTGTCTGAAACCCAGCGGTTCTGGTGCACTGTGAAGTCCAAGCAGTTCATCACTGACATCTCCCAGGGGTGAGGCAGAGGCTGGGAATGAAATCCACGTGCAGGAGGTGCCTAACTCACCCAAATGAAGTTAAATCCTTGCTAAAGAGGATCATGGCAAGTCATTAAACCTCATTTGGCCGTAACGCTCGGTCACTCCTTCCTGCGTGCTGGGGTGCAGCCAAGAAAACCCTTCCTGGCTCCGGGGTGAGCATTGTCCTTTGGTCTGGGATACAACGGGAGCAGATAATTTACATGCAGGACTTCATTTAAGCAGGGTTTGAGAGCCTGGCAGCCTGCCGGCCTGGCCCCTTGGTTAGGCAGGAGCTGGTGCACCCGAGCGGCCTCCCAGGCGATTCAGCGTGGGAGGACCTGTGTGGGTGCTCTCACTGGGACCTGGAGTGCCATTGACACCCAGTCCTGACATCCTGTAAGAGAGCAAAGTTGTTTAAAGACATTTAAAAGCCAAAAAGCTCCGAAGAAATGACAAACAGGCCCTTCAAAACCTTATTACTGGTTTTATTCAGGGGCAGGGACGTGAGATATGTTGTGGGAAGGAGGCAGTAGCTGGAGCTGATAAGCTCAGCAAGGACAGGCTGTGTTTTAAGAGACTTCTGCTGGTCTCAGCACTACAAGCCTGCAGAATTGTGCCTGCCTGGCAAACGCCGCCGGCCTCCGTGGGAATAATTGGCGCAAGGAGTCGCTAATTGGCGGAGTGCAACCGCAGAGCGCTGGCCATCTGCTCCTCTAAACAGGGATCCCGGGCTCTCCCCTCCCTCCACCCTTCCTGGCGAGCGCTTGGAGGCTTCCTATGACCCTTCCTCCTCCTCTCTCCCGAAGGCTTTCACAGCTCTAACACAAGGAAACTCATTCACTGCCTCCCAGCGCGGCCCAGTGTCAGCACGCAGTGACTTAACCCCCTGCATTTAGCAGCCTTCCTGCGTTGTCTCAATAGCTCCTGCCTGTCTGTCAGTCACTGGAGCTTTGTGGGAAAAGGGGAGCAAACTCTTTGAAGTATTTTTCCGTTTTACTGCTGTTTTCTCAGTGCTTTCCCAGTTCTGATCAGCTCTTTCTGCCTCGCTTGCAGCATGATTAACAGCTGCAAGACTTCTCAGGAAGTGACTCAGCTCTCTCAGGAAGGACAGAAGATGCTTGAAAAAATCGAGCAGTCTCCAAAGCCCATAGTTGCTGCCATCAGTGGCTCCTGCCTGGGAGGAGGACTGGAGGTATTGAACCATTCGGGGGCTGACAAGCAGCAGTGGAGGTCGATAGTGCTGGTTCTCTAAACTACCCAAACGATGCCCGCAGGGCTACTTAGCATGAGAGGATTTTGAGACCTGACGTGGGTTCATTACAGAATCACAGACCATTAGGGATTG